GGCCCTTTGTGTTTCTGATGTTAAAAGAAACTGATTTAGGAGGCCCCGGGTGCAGCCATTGTCTCGCACGGTGGCCCCAACCCTGCAGTACCAAGGACTCTTCTGCTTCCCACAACCAGGGACGTGGCTTCTTACATCCTCTCAAAGGCCTCCTCGCTGGTTGGCTCCATCTCCTGCCTTCCCTGTCCTCTCACTCATGAAGTACTGGATGCTGTTGGGTAGGGCACAGACCAAGGGATCCAGTTAAATCTAACTTCACAGTGTTCCTCACGAGCAGCTCAGCCTCGTCTTGAGAGAGAAGCTCATTCCGCTTAGGCTGGATCTGTTTGTATTAATAGCTGTTTAGACACTGCTCTGTCAGAAAATCTCCTTGTATATGTTTTCATTCCTTTGATTTCTTTTCCGTCTGACAGCACTTTTATTTTCTAAAAGGAACAGCTATTTTCTGTCCCCAAAGCCTTTCGGGTTGCAGTGTGGGTGTGAATGGGAAATGTTATTTATTGCTCAAACACTTATGTACAAAGTTATACTTATTTTGATCCAGCTTATACAGTGATCCGCCCACACCAAGAAACTAAGAAGAACGCTTCAGGGGGTTTGAAGTAGATGCTACAGAAATCCTTAGATTTTGGAGTCCAAACTGGTCCTTTGTAACAAATCTTCATGCCAGAAAAATCATGTGTATTGATTTGCCTAATATAGATTTTATTGTCCAGAGGTGGGAGGATGATAACAGAAAAAGTTTTATTGGAATTGATCTGTTGCAAATTCCTTCATAATGTATTTGTCACATGTAGCAAATAAGTATAATTAACATGACTTTTGTTTTTACTGAAGTTTTTCTGAAATGACTCAATGCACATTCAGTTGGGTGCTTTTTAGAAGCATGTTTTGAGTAATCTTTCAAAGTGATGATAGCTTAATTTCATGTAAATCAGAAGTGCTCAACAAGAGATAGTTTCCCAGTGTCTGGAGACATTTGTTGTCGCCAAAACAAAGACAGAAACCAAAAACAGAGCAGTGCAACTGGCATCTCCTGTGTGGAGGTCAGAGATGCTGCTAAAGGCACAGAAAAGTCCTCAAACAGTGAGTGGTTGTGCTGAAATGGCAACAGTTCCGAAGTTGAGCAGAAAGCTCTGGTGTAGGTTGGGCCCCTGTGCCCCACCGAGAGGTGAGAACTCTACCATCCATGGACCTAGGACCTGCGGAGTTGAGGGAGGAGCTGCAGAACATGGTCTCCTATGGAAGGATGCTCGAAAAAGCCCATGCCTGTCCCTGAACACTGCAGATGCCCTTCTCTGTCACCAGCGCAGTTCATAGCACCTTTCCCAAGTGGGCTGCTGTGGTGCCTCAAACCTCCTTGGTCTTCACAGAAATAAATTTCTCTAAAACAAATCTATTTAGAGACACATCATCCCACGTCAGAAGTCTCAGGTCAGGAGGATAAGGGAGAGTGGGCTGCCTCATGTCTTTCCCTCTGGATCTGAGTAAGAGAGTGGCCTCCAGTTTTGAAGGCTCTGACTCATTTCCCAGAGGTGAATATCATATTTTTAATTTTGTAACCCAGGAAAATCACACTTGTCCGTCCATGGTCCATTCCAGAGCCCTGTGCCTGGGGACCATCAGGCCAGCTGTCAGACAGGTGAGCCTCTGGATTCCCGTTTTCTCGGCTGTTCCCCTGCTGCTCCCATTTTCAGCATCTCTTGCTCCTACAGAGCACAGACTCCTGCCTTGTCTTGGTGTGCAGGTTATTTACTTGCTTCTCTGCCCAATCTGAATATGGGAGCATTCGAGAGTCTGTTCCATTCTGAAAGACCTCAAAGCCTACTTGCTCTGGCAATCTTAGTTCTGGTGAATCCTTACTACACTTCTTTGTGCACGTGGAGAGGCGGCTATGCAGTTGGCACTTAAAAAATATTGAGTGGATGAGAGACTTTGAACATAGCTGGAGCATCATATCTCATTAGTTTTTTTGATATTGGATCAAGTCCTATGAAATTCATCAATTTTTTTCTTACATTTATTTATTAATGTTTTGTATTTGGATGGAACCAAGGGTCCTGTGCATACTAAGCACATGTGCTGTCCCTAGCCCCTCTACTCTGTAAAATTTCCATCATCATTTCCTTATCCTTTAGAAGACTTTAATCCAGCATCTGTTAAAGGCCTTGCTCCTGAAATCATTCCATTGAAAATGGAATGTAAACATGAGTTTTGGGGGATATATTCAAACTGTACCAATCTGTTTCATGTATCCCAACATTTTCCTGATTTTTTTCTTTTAATGTTTTCTGACTTCACTGATTTTTTTGGTTGATTGAGCATTAAGGGGAGCCATCCCTGCACCTCTTCCTCTCTCGGTTCCTTGCCATGTGGGTCCTGTCTTCTGTTATTGCTGCAACTCTTCCCTCCTTGCTGACCACACTGACCACGGCCTGGCTGGGCCAGGGATCTCAGTGATCATTGCTTGATGCTTTGAAGATGCAGGCAACCTGTCCTCTGCTAAATTTGTTACTTCTGTCTGCACCTGGGAAGCACAAGACCTAGCTTGACATTCAGCTCCTGATGCTCCTCTCCATTCTACTTTCCCATCTTCTGTGGCTACATCTTTTGATTACTACTTTTTAACAAACGACTTTCTTAATCTTTATTTCCCTGATGCTTCCCCTTTGAAAATATCAGCTGGGTTTATGATTTCAACCATGCTGAACGTTCTATCTTATCTGTGATTTTTTTCTTTCTGACCACCCAACCTGGAGTTTCAGCAGCTTACTGCATTTCCTGAAATATTCATTCAGCATCTGAAACCCAATGTGTACTAGACTAAATGACAATATTCTCATGTAAACCAAACACTTCTTTTAATGATCATATTTATTTATTTATTTTTGGTACCAGGAATTGAACTCTGGACCTTGTGCTTGCCAGGCAGGCGCTTATGCCACTGAGCTATATCCCAGCCCTGATCATATTTAAATGAATGACATTCCTATCTGCAGCGTCACTTCCATTATCAATTTGGACTCCATGTTTGCCTGTTTGCTGTGTGCTTTGGAAGTTTAGGAGGTTAGCACAGCAATCGTTATATTTTATATTTTATGGATCTGGAATTTGGGCAGAGCTCACTTGTGTGACTCTGGCTGTAGATTTCAGCTTTTGTCCCATAATTGGAGCTTTGGCAGGGATGACTAGGTAACTGGGCCCAGAAGGACTGGTAAACCATGACACCTAACTGTGATCTTTCTAACATGACAGTTTGGAGGTATTAGACTTATGACCTGAATAACAATCCCCAAAAGAATGTGTTTTCAGAGACGGGAAGTAGAAACTGCCATTCTGATTAAGCCTGATCTTGGGAACCAGCCTCCTTATCTGTCCTGTTGTAAATGAGTGATTACTGAGAAAAGCTACGATAGATACAACCTAGATTCAAGGGAATGAACCTTGACCTGCATCTCAGTGGAAAAAAGTCAGAATCTGTGGCCATCTTTCATCTGTTAACATTCGCCAATCTTGCCTTTTCTCTTTGTCTTTACTTTTATTCCCATTGGCAACATCTAGAATCATACCTTCCTTTATTTCTTTTCTGAACAATTGCAATAGTTTCAAAATAATGTATCCATGTCTATGCATTTTCCTATGTTCACTATTGTGAGAATGACCTTATGTATATTTCTTCTGAAGTTAATGTACTGTGATGGTTAATTTTGTTTGTCAAGTTCATTGGCTTGTGAGGCACCTGGTGGAATAGCAAATCACATTTCTGGGTGTGTTTGGGTGAGTCCTGGACGAGTGACTTTGAGGACTATATCTGGTCCCTGACTCCTTTCATCTTAGGTGCTTTTCCTTTGTACTGTGCTTTCTGGCAACCGTGAATTGAGCAGCAGCAGCTGCCTTTGAACCATCTAACCATGGACTAAACCTTCTGGAACTTGAACCAAAGTAAACCTCTCATCCTCAAGTTGTGGTGTCAGGTATTTTGTCTCAGCAAAGCTGACCAACACATGTATTATAGTAGCTTCTTTCCTGGATGTAAAGACCTGACACCTTAATATAATTTGCCTTCCCAGTGGTAACTCAGTCTACTCTCTCAGCATTTTATCTGCTCCCCTTTATGGTTGCTGGCTTCTGGATAACTGTAATACAACATCTCCAAACATGTTGTATGCTCCAATGTGCCGTTCATCCTCTTTCCCTGGCATGGAATGACCTTCCAGAAATCTCCTCTTTATCCTTCAGTGTTAAACTCAAACATGAATTCCTCCCAGAGCCTCCCGGTGATCCCTCTAAAGGGCAGCACTACTTTCCCTGAATTCCCAAAGCACTCCTGTTCCTTTTTGTGCGTTTCTAAGAAGATGGATTCTGGTTATTTTTATAAGCCTATCTTCCTTTAAAGCTTGCTAATCTTCTAAATTGTTCATAATCATTAAAGTTTTCCAGCGTTTCCAACACTGTGCTTTCATTTCACTGAGTTGCTGTTGAATCTAGAGTCTATTTGAGTCACTTAGTCTCTAGCCAGAACTTTTGCAGGCCAACACATGTACCGATTATGGGTAGTTTATGAGTTAGGCAGTGTAATACTCATCAGGTTTCTGGTAAGACAGTGGCAGTGGCTTTATTGTATAAGGTATTTTGGATGTGAAAGGGGATGGGCAGAGATTACTAAGGTTTTCATATTTAGATCTCTATGTTTGCACAAGAAATGATGATAAACTTCCAAGGGAAAACCACTCAATAACCCCAACCCTTTACCGGCTTTACTTAGAAGTGATCAGGGTGACTCAGTAGAGTTAAAAGTAGGTTATTTTGTAAAATTAGAGAGATGTGTACTATTTCTCTGCCTAGCTCTCATCTCCTAGAAAAGAACTAGATTGTCGGTGTTCCCTAAGGTCTCTCAACTCACAAGTTAGAGCAGTGAACTTAGTGCTAGCGTCTTCCAAACACTGCCCTCCAGAAAACCTGAGCTCATCCTCACCGGCTTGTTCTCTTGTGTGTTTTAGGTACTTTTCCCACATGAGGGGCGAACCAGCTTTGTAGAAGAGAAGAGCTTGGAGCCAGAGACGCCTTGCCCACCATGAAGGGAGCCTGCATCCTGGCATGGCTGTTCTCAAGCCTGGGGCTATGGAGACTCGTCCAGCTGGAGGCCCAGGATGCCCAGTGCCAGAGAGCCGAGCACCCGGTCATTTCCTACAAAGGTGAGGAGCAGGAGCGCTCTGATTGCAAAGCCACCACCTAAGTGCAGATTCCGTGGTTACTGGCAGAGAACACTGGTACCTATTGCTCTACTGTTCTTCCACTCTTGATTTGGACATTGTTTAAAATAAGAGCAAAAATTTTAAAAATCCCTCAGAAAGTGATCCTTCCCTCATGAAGCTTCCAAGAAGGGACTGCTTTGGGTAGAAAATCCCGTCATTTGAGGCCACCTTCAGTTTGCAGGTGCTGCTGGCTTCCTAGGCATTTGAGCCAGAGTGTTAAAAATACGACTCACAAAAATAACAGAAAAAATCCAAGTTAAACCCAAAAAAATCTTCATTCTGGCTTTTTCTAGAAAAGCCTTCATCCTGCCACAAAATTCATCCCTTTGCCTTCATCTGGCATTGCTTGGCAGCAGAATTAGTTCAGTGTCTCACGTATCTCCATGAAATTGTACAGTTAATTAACTAACTTTCCTTATATCTACTCATTTTATTCTTTCATTCATCAAAAAAATTTTAGTGTCTTTCTACCTAGGCTACTTGAAGCATTGAGTATGAAGATTCTTGGCCCTGCACTTGTTGAGTGTTATTATCAGCCTAAAGGAGACCTTGGATTTTCTTAATTCACTCAGCAAGTAGCTTTATAATTTGTTAGTTTAAAAACTTTATAGCATACATTTTAAACATACAAAAACAAGAATCATGGGCGAAAGAAAGCGCCATCCTTGTACTTGTCAATTTTATGCTCATTGTTTTTTCTCAAGTGAAATCCCATCCATGTTCCACCTCATACTCATTGAATTATTTTGTGGGAACTTGAAGAAATCATATAATTTTATCTACTATCATTCAGTCCATAACTCTCAAAGAAAAAGACTTTACAATACTATTATTATAAGAAAAAGAATCCCTAAACAATGGTGATTTGGTGAGATCATGAGTTATTCAGTGAGCATGGAGAGACCTGGATGGTTTCCTGATGACTTGCACCTTTGGTTAACAGGGGGATCAAATCAGGATCTCTGTAAAGTCCGTCCATGGCAATTTGTTGGCTTGTTGTTTGAGCCTCTTTTGTCTGTTCCTCCTGCAGATAAGTTTTAAAGAAACCGAGCCCTTTGGCTTGTGGGGTTCCCACAGTCTGGATGCTTCACGTCCCGTGCACATGTTCTTCTGTTGCGAGCATCCCTCCGAATCTGCAGTGCTGTCCAGGTGCCCGTTAGGCTCAGGCTCCTGTCTCTGTCTTGCTAGTGGCAGTGAGCGCACCTGCTGTGCACTCTCCTTGTGCCTCCCACTTGGGAAATCACGTCACTGGCCATCGCGCCAAGTGTTCCCGTTCATTCGTGGGACTTCATCTGGGATTTTCTCATTTTATTATTCTTTCTTCATCTCATGGGTAGAATACTCCTGTACAGACTAGCTTTCGCTCATCCACTACTTACGTATCTTCAAGGTTCAGCTAGGAAGTCAAAGCAAATGCCTCCCCCACCCAAGTTTTTATGATGAGTAAGTTGGTTCTCTGACATCCAGCGAGTCAAAGATTGATCTTCCATGGGGCCCAGTAAGATACTTTGTTTGCTTTCCCCTTCCCTCATCTGACTACTAGAATCATTACGTGGTTGTCAGCATAACTGGTGCATGTTAATCCATTCCAGCTTTTACCCTTGTAGGTGGTGAAACTGTGGCCTTCTAGCCCAGGGAAACACCTTGAGGTTGTGTTCTGAGTTCTTCTGACATCACCCAAATCATTTCTGATCGCCTTTTCACTCTCTGGGATCACAGGATGTTCCTACCCCTTTCACCGATTTCCTGCTGCAGCTCTGGGAATCACTTATTTCTCGCTGCTTCAAGCACTAACCATGTTCACTGATTGTTCTTTGTAGTGTGCAGTTCCGAGAGAAACATTTTCAAAAATAAAATGCCCCAGAAGCTTCTCTGATACTTTCAGCTCTTCTCCAGGGCTCCAGGGCCTTTCTCGACCTTTGCTGTCTACGTCTGCTCTTTCTTCCCCACTCAGAATCCTGTGTCTGTAGACTCTCAGGTGTGCTCCTCCGCATTTTCTCACAGCGCATGCTCTGCTATTGCAGGATGACAGCTTCATGCAACCTTAGCTGCTTTTGATTATTGGAAACCTTTTAAGATGACTTTTTCTCTTCTTTTGGCCCTTGGTTTATATAGTTTGCTGGGGAATTCTTGCTTTCAAGATCACTTGAAGTAATTTCCTTCCATGTAATTATGCCACCAATCCCAAAGTGAGTTAATTTCTTTTATTTAAATTAGCTTTTTTTTTTTTTTTTTTGGTCTTCCGGTACCGGGAACC